CTTTGCCCCATGCTTTTCCATTCACCCTTTCCCTCCCTTCCTTTCCTGCTATTTTCTTTCGTATTTTTTTTTATATTTTATACTCTTATTATTATATAATAAAGTAATAAAAAGATACTAACGTTTTCCTCTAGGTGGCACTATTGCACATACATAAACTGCCCATGCATTTTTCTTTCTTTCTTTCTTTCCACTTTTAATCTCTAAACCAAATTAATCAGATGTATTTCCCCCCCCTCCCAATAAAAACGCAGGCATGCAAAAGATTCCCTGCGATGCACAAACCAACAATATCACAATAAAAGAATCGCCCATTCTGATTTTAGTCTTATTTTTTGCCCACTTGTTATTTTACTGAACTTGCTTTCTGCTCAACCAGAAGCAGAAAAAAATAGCTTGAAACATGGATTATAATTTCATAGCTTTCATCCTATTGTTCTTTACTCTCCTGAACCTGAAAGAAAGCAGAGGTCTACTCTTTTCTGTCCACTGACATAATAATATTGCATGCTATGAAAATACGGCATAGCGTGCCAAGCACGATAGTTTTCCCCATAAGTCATTGTAACAGATAATTAATGTGTTACAATTCGATTGAAGGCTAATCTTTACCAATATTTATTTGTTACATTCAATGGTCGTTATTATATCATTTGATTCCGTCACGCTATTATTAATACGATAACACTTCTTACTACTGTGTAATAGTTATTACAAAATATTAGGGCTGGAAAAAATATTTTTACAAAATGGAAAGTATCCAGAGTAAAAAGTACAAGAGTCTTGAAACTTCACCAGTGGATTTTGTATAAAGTTAAAAACAGTTCGCGTTATTTTAGTCCACAATGGATTGCTTTCTAAATGGCATGCAGTATTTTTCCCCTTCTTTCTTTCTTTTTCTCAGTGCCGCATCAGATGAGAATAAGCAGAGGAGATAAAAAGAAATCCTCTGCAGATTTAGATGGATGGGGTGGTTGGAACGGATTTGCAAAAGTAGCCTATTTAAAATATCGCAACAGATTCGCCCAGGTTCCTCGTCTGTCCACCCTAATGTTCTTTTTTTTTTTTTAATGGCCGCTTCTGCTTTTTAAAATAAATACCGCCCCTTAAACTGAATTTGCCTCTCTCGGTTTGCTTTTAAAAACCTTCGAATCTTCCGCGTTTTGTTTCCTGCAAGAACCTTTTCTTGCCTGGGGCAGAGAAAACCCAGCGGAAACCAAGCGGAAGTGTTTGGTCCCCGACCAAATGCAACGTTTCCTTAGAAAATCTCTTTATTCGGCGGGTGAGTGTCCTGCACTTCCACTTTGGAAACCAAATTCTTTCCGAGCAAAACGTTAGTCCGACGCTCAGCTCTGAAAGCGGAAAAAAAAGAGCAGGGAGAAGCAATTAAAAGAAATCAGAAAGTCTCTCTCTCTCTCTCTCTTTTCTTTCTTTCTTTCTTTCTTTCTTTCTTTCTTTCTTTCTTTCTTTCTTTCTTTCTTTCTTTCT